GCGGCTGCTGCTGTTGCTGCTGGAAATGCGGCTCCGCGGGGTCCCCGTGCTGCGTATCTACGTATTGCTGCTCCGTGTTCAGGGTGTGCGGTTCCTGCTGCAGCTCCAGCTGCTGCTGCTGATGTACAGCGGCCGTAAAGTTCTGGTGCTGCTGGTGGCCGTATTGCTGCTGCTGGTTCTGCTGCTGCCGCGTTCCCTGTTGCCGCTGCTGTACGTTCAAATGGTCCTGGCTTTGCTGCGCCTGTTGTTGCTGTCGCCGCTGCATTTCCAGCCTCTGGTCGTGGTGCGTCGCCTCGAGCTGTTGCTGCTGCTGCTGCTCATCTTGCTGCGGCTGCTGCTGCTGCATGTCTTGCTGCTGCTGCCGCTGCGGCTCCAACTCTGACTGCGCCACTGGGTTTGGGCGTCCAGTGGGCCGTTGTCGCGACTCATGCGACCCCGACAGGCTTTGGTTCTCCCTCAGACCCTGCTGCTGCTGCTGCTGCTGTTGCTGCTGTTGCTGCTGCTGCTGTTCTTGGGGCACCAAACCTCGCTGCTCCAGGGGCACCTGCATGCCGCCTCCCCCGTAACGGTGGGCGTTATCCCCTGTTGGCCTTTCTCGTGGTGCTGACCGTGCAGCTGCGGTCGCATTTAGCACTGCTGCTGCTGCTGCTGCTTCTGCTGCTGCGGCTTCTGCTGCGTCTTCTAGCCTCCAGGGGCTTGCAAAAGGAGAATCCCCAGGGGGCTGCGCAGGCGACGCCACATACGGGAGGTCCCCTCGGGGAGCTGCTGCTGCTGCTTGCCTGCCAGCACTTTGACTTGAGTTGCGGTTTGTGGGCTGCCAGACTGTCGGCTGCTGCAGCAGGGCCTGCTGCCGCTGCTGCTGCTGCTGCTGCTGCTGCTGCTGGTTGCGGGAATCTGCTGGTGGCGCCGTCGAGGCAGGACTGGGGGCTGTTGCTTCGGGGCGCTGCTGCCTCATAGGCCGCCAGCGCAGCACTCCAGTGTCGGGGGCCCCGGAGAATCCCGACGCCCTAGTGCTGCTGCTGTAGCTGTTGTTGCCACTGCTGTAGCTGTTGCTGTTGCTGCTGGTGTTGCTGCTCTCAGGAGCTTGAGGTGGGGGAGGCAACGGCTGCACAGAAGCAGCAGCTGCTCCAGAAGCTCTCCGCGTGTGGGAACTGCCCCGGGGCGGCTGAGCTGCGTCATGTGGCGAAGCGGCTACCTGTTGCTGCTGCTGCTGCTGCTGCTGCTGCTGCTGCTGCGGTGGCGGCGGGGGCGGCGCAGGTGGCGGCTCCTCTTCATCGTCATATAGCCAAAAGGAAAAGGTGCAGGGGGGCCTGGCGTCGAGGGGCACTGAGACAACGGGTGCAGGGAACGCGTCTCTGCATGCAGCCAAGGCACTCTCCGCGCTGCTGCTGCTGCTGCTGCTGCTGCTGGCGGCACAGGGCGTTTTTCTGCGCGGCTCCCCTACAACAACCACTCCGGGAAACACTGGCCAGTGGCGCTGCTTTGCTGCTGTTTCCACGACGCAGCGCAGCAGCATCTCCTGAACGCCAGCCAGGTGGGGGGTCAGGGCAGCGGCAGCGGCTTCTGCTGAACTGCTGCTACTCCTGCTGCCGCTTCTGCTACTGCTGCTGTTGCTGCTGCTGCTGCTGCTGCTGTTGCTGCTGCTGCTGTTGCTGCTGCTGGTAGTGGTAGTGCCAGTTCTGTTGATGTTGCTGCTATCATCGCGAGCACGGGTATCGCTTTCCACTTGGACTGTCGGTAGCACCCCTCCCTTATGATGTTCCCCCACTTCGCAGTTTGCTGCTGTTTGGGATGGAGCCGTTGCAGATGCTGCTGCTGCTGCTGCAGCTGCAGCTGCTGCTGGAAGCAGCGGCGTCAGCGGCAGGCAGGAGGCCGCGCTGTCGGTGGCTGCCTCTGCAGCAGCAGCAGCCTCTTGCGAAGGTGACAAGTAGAACCTCGACAGCAGATTGCACAAAGGGGCCAGTCCCTGGCGCGGTGTTTGTTTTTCCCACTTTCCTGCTGCTGCAGCTGCTATTGCTGCTGATGATGATGATTCTGAAGGTGCGACTTTTGCTGCTGCTGCCTCATTTGCCTTTGTGGCTGCGGCCACCGCAGCTGCGTCAGTCGCTGCTGCGGCTGCGGGCTCATTTCCCTCAAGAAGGTCCCCGCCCAGGCTCCCCTGTTCCCCCGCAGCAGCAGCTGCAGCTGCTGCTGCCGCTGCTGCTGCTCTGTGGTGCTGCTCCAGCGCAGCGTCCCGCTGCAGCGCAAACAGCTTCAAAAAAGCCACTGTCAGCAAACAGCGACTCAGCCAAGAAGGCGGAAAGGCCGAAAGGAAAACACTGGCCCCCACAGGCCACTCTGCGTAGTCGCTGAAGACCACTTGAGCTGTTGCTGCTCTTTTAGCAGCAAACCAAACCCTCAGGGTTTCCTTCATCAGGGCTTCTCTCAGGGCACTGGACACGGAGGGGGCCGCTGCTGCTGCTGCTGCTGCTGCTGCTTGGTGGGGCTCTGCTGCTGCAGCTGCGCCCGTAAGGCCGGTGCCTGTGACCGCAGCGCAGCAAAGGAATTGCTGCTCAGCGGACAGGTGGCTGGTGAGGCGCTGCAGCAGCTGCTGCTGCTGCTGCGTCGCCGCAGCTCCTGGTTCGGGTGCGGGGGCTTGCTGCAGCTGCTCTCGTTGATGGTGCTGCTGGCTGTGCTGCTGCTGCACGCCAGCGACGCCGCGGGAGCCAAGTGCTGCAGCTGTTGCTGCGCCTGCTGCTGCAGCGGCTGACGCGCCTTCTGCAGCTGCCCCGTGGGCAGCAGCAGCAAGGCCACAAAGCTGCAGCAGCGGCAGCCAAAGTGCTCTTTCTGGAGGCAGCTGCAGCGAGACTCCACCCAAACAAAACAAAAGGCCCCCCAGAAGAGAAGTTACATCGTGGGGCCCTAATGTTGCCTTCAGGATTCGCAGCCGCAGCCGCAAGAACTCAGTCAGATACTGCAGGGAGACTTGGGCGCTGCCGATTGGGAGCAGCCGCTGCGGCTTCTGCTGCAGCTGCTGCTGCAGCTGTTGCTGCTGCTGCTGTTGAGAGGCAACAGCTCCCGTGGACTGATCGGAGGTGTTGGTGGAGTCTCTAGATGGGGAGGCAATCGAGTCTTGCAGCTGCTGCCCCAGCTCCTGCTGCGATTCCTGTTGCTGCTGCTCGCTCATCTCCTGTTGCTGCTCGTGTTGCTGCCGCTGCTGTCCCGTAGGCTCTCCTGCAAAAGGGAGATCTCCGTCGTTTTGATATTGTGCATGTTGTCTCTGCCGGTGGTGCCGCCTTTGCTGCTGCTGCTGCTGCGGCTGTTGCTGCTGCTCTTGCTGCTGCTGAGGCCACGGCCGCTGCCCAATCACCGCAGGGCATCCGTCAACAGCAAACGGCAGCAAGAAAAAAGGCTTTTGGGAGCCATAGGTGCATTTGAGGCTAAGGGCGGAGAGGAACTCAGACCCTGTTTGTGGTCTTTGGCCGCAGGGCTGCTGTTGCTCTTGCTGTTGCTGCTGCTGCTGTTGCTGTTGCTGCTGCTGCTGTGCATCCTCTGTCTGCAGCTGCTCAGCCTGCTGATCGATTCGTATTCGCGACTGATCTCGCCTTCTTTCGTCAGGCTGCTGCTGCTGCTGCTGTTGCCCCTGCAGTTGGCCCGGGGGACTGTACAAGCCCTCTGCGGTGGCTTTCTGGGCATCTATTTCCTTTTGTCCCTCGCATGCTTCAGGACGTGTTGCTGCTGCTGCTGTTGCCGCCGTCTGAGGGTTTGCGGCCAGCGGGGAGAGTTCAGGGGCCGCAGGGCATAGAGTAAAGCAATCAACAGGGTCGTACCCGTCTTGCTGCTGCTGCTGCTGCTGCTGCTGCTCGGAGCTGCTGGCGCCCGCGTCCTGCGGTGTGGAGAGGCTGCAGAGGGCGCGGATGAGGGGGTCGAGCTGGTGCTCGTGGCAGAGCAGCAGCAAATCAGTTGTGGCTCTGAGTCTGTCTCTGCTGGCTTCCCTGTGCGTGTCAGTAGCAGTTCTGAGCTCAGGTGAAAGCCGGGCTCTTGCTGCTGCTTCCTCTCCCGAGGCCTCCGCCTGTGCTGCAGCAGCAAGCACTCCCATGCCCGACAGCAGCTTCGTGCTGCCTGCGAAGCCGCCGTTTGTGACTGCCTCCAGCCGGCTGTACAGACACCCGAAGGCTGCAGCAGCCTCTGCGCGCAGCTGCAGCAGACGACGAGATATGCTGCTGCTGCGGTGCAGCGGCAGCCCGCTGCCCCCGGCGCAGCAGCAGGCGTAGGTCTCTGGCAGCTCCACCCCGCCGCTGCGGCCCTGCTGGAGCTGCAGCGCCTGCTGCAGCTGCTGCTGCAGCAGCAGCCGCAGGACGCGCTGCTCCTCGGGAGACCGAAGAGTCGCTGCGGGAGCGTAAGAAAGGGGCTGCAACATGGTGAACAGCTGCCGCAAAAGAGACACTGCAGCAGGCCTGTCAGCTAGAGACGAAGTCTGCTGCAGCAGGAACTCCACCACGGGAAACAGCACCCCTGCAGCGCAGCCAAAACGCCTCCGCCCCAAGCCCCAAACCCTACACCCTGAAAAGCCCTCAAACGGTACTGCCAACACCTCAGACCTTCTGACAGGCATGCTGAGCCGCAGCTGCTCAGCATAGCTGAGGGTATTGCGCTGCTGCAGCAAGCGCCTGCAGCTGCAAGGGTTTGCTGCTGGGGTTGTTCGTGGCTGCACTTGCCTGCTTGCTTGTGTCTGGGGGTGCAGGCAGCCAGCAGCAGAGTCAGCTCAGCAGCAAGATGCAGGTTGCAGCCCCGCAGGGCCTCGGTGTCAGTGAGCCGCTGCAGCAGCGGCGTCAGCAGCAGCCGAAAGCCCCAGCGCGGGCTGCTGCCCGTGGAGTGTACGTACACCCGGCCGCAGTCCAAGACCTCCAGACGACACCCGGTGAGACTGTCTGCAGCAGAAAACGAAAAGCGAGCGTAAGAGAAGAGCTACTTAGAGGCTCCGACGAAATCGCAGCGCCTGCTGCAGTCAGCAGCAGCAGCAGCAGCAGCAACAGCAGCAGCAGCAGTCCGGCGAGGGAGAAAAAACAGAAATATGGGTAGCAGCAGGGGCTCCACACATCAGCAGCAGCAGCAGCGAAGTCTGAAGCAGCACCAGTACCCCACGTTGCTGGTGGCCTCGAACACAACACAAGAGGGCAGGCAAAAGTTCTTAAAGGCCTTTAAAAGGACCTGCAGCAGCCCGTAAGGCGGCGGAGCGTGCAGGCTGCAGCAGCAGCAGCTTATGATCTAAGAAGTAAAGGACCTATGTGGTTTGCTGCTGCAGCACCTGAGTGTTTCATAGAGAAGACAACAGCCTCGTCTTCCTCCTCCGCAGAAAGCGTGAGGGAACAGCCCTCTTCAGAACCCCCCAAGTCCGTGCGGGGGTCCAGCAGCACGAGAAGGCGGCGGCAGGGGAGAAAAGAAACTGCAGCAAGAGTTTCTTGGTGCTGCCCGAAGGGGTGTTTGGACTCGACGCAGTGTACAGACACCCGGTGGCTGAAGGCTGCGCGCAGCTGCTGCATCACGAACAGCCCCAGCTGGTCGACCAGCTGCCCGCGGGGCCCGTCCGCCAGCAGCGCGCGCGCCAGCAGCTGCAGAAGCCGCAGCAGCTGCTGCATGCTGCTGCACGGCAGCTGCTGCAGCAGCGGCGAAATCACGAAGGGCGCAAACGGGGGGCCCCCGAGGCCCCCACGGGCCTCCACTAGACTCCCTGCGTCGCCCTGCGCTGCCACTGGCAGCAGCGTGGCGGACCCCAAGCCGCTGGAGAGAAAGAATGCCATGAAGGAGGGGGGGCCCTGCTGCGGCATCTGCGGCGCTGCTGCTGCTGCTGCCTTCCTCAGCCACTAGACGCAGCTCCTCGAAGTTGTCTATCTGCCATATGCAGCCGCAGCGGCCCGCGAGCCCTTCCAGCAGCAGCACATCTCCTGTTGCTGATGTCACGAGGCCCTCGACGATATTTGTCGTTACTACTCTCCTGCTGCTGGCGCTGCTGGCGCTGCTGCTGCTGCTTCTGCTGCTGCTGGTGGCCCTGCTGCTGCCACCCACAGCTGGTTGGGACCGAGGCTCTAGTAACTCCTGCACGGCGCGGCACGCCGCTGACAAGTCGACGCTGCTGCTGCCGCTGCTTCTGCTTCTGCTGCTGCTGCTGCGGGTACTGCTGTTGCTGATGACGTTGTTGCTGGTGCTCCGCACCCACTGTTGCAGCGCCTGCGCCCTCTCTGGGCCCACGCCTTCCTCAATGGCTGCTATGGCGGCCGTTGCTGCTGCTGCTGCTGTTGCTGCCTGTGCTGCAGGGTCTGGAGCAGCTTCTGGAAGCACAGCAACCCCATGAACCAGAGAAGCTGCTGCTGGATGAACACGCACGAGGAGGCCCAGCCGCAGCTCCTTGGGCGACAGCAGCTGGGGCCCACTGGGGCCCTCAACGGCGCACAGCTGATCTCGCCAGTTTCCCGCGCCTGCAGCAGCAGCAGCAGCAGCAGAGGGCGCCCCGGACATCCCGGTGGTGGGGTGGCGGATGGCTGCGGAGAGCAGGTCGTCATACCACTTGGTGCTGCGCAGCACTGCTGCAGATATCTCGTCGGACAAGCTGCTGCTGCTGCTGCTGTTGCTGTTGCAATTTTTGTCCAGCTGAAACTCCGGCGCTACGTTTTCGCTGGCTTGCTGCATCAACGCGTAGAGGGAGGCACCGGTGCCTCTCCTGGCAGCAGAGGCGATATCATGTTCACCTGGGCTGCTGCTGCTGCTGCTGCTGCTGCTGCTGTTGCTGTCTTCATCGTTGTTGCTGCTACTGTTGCGGCCGCTGCTGTTGTCGGTGCTGCCACTGGCCCCTGAAAGCTCAGCTGGCTCGAAATCTTCTCCGTCCTGTTCTTCCTGCTGCTGCAGCAGTAGCTCCTGCTGTTCAAGCTCCTGCTGCTCGAGCTCGTGCTGTTCGAGCTCGTGCTGCTGCAGCTCCTGCTGCTGCTGCTCCTGCTCCTCCCGCAAGTCTGCTTCTTCCAAGAAGCGCATTTGCATCGCCTCCAACTCGGCCACGCCGCTGGTCAGCAGCCACTCTGCTGCTGCTTGCAAGTCATCTCCCTGCAGCCTCAAAGCTGAGACGCAAAGTCCTAAAGGGAAGAGTCCACTGCCCATCATTTCGTGAAGTGTTTCTGCTGCTGCGCGGCGCTGCAGCGCCTCCTGGCTGAGGGCCCCCACAAGAATGGGGGCTGTTGGGGCCCCTGCACCTGCGTTGCTGTCTCGAGCGCTGTGGCCTGCTGCTGCAGGTGCAGCAGCAGCAGCAGCAGCATCGCCGCGGGCAACAGCAGAAACTGCTGCGTCGCCGCTGCCTCCCTGGCCGCTGCTGGCGTAGCTGCGAGGCAGCTGCAGCGCAGCAGGCTGCAGCGCAGCAGGGGGAAGCCCCATGTCTGCAAAGAGCTGCTGCAGATCCGCATTGTTTAAAGAAGCCCCAAAAGGATACAAAAACGGAGAAGCCCCAAAATTTGCGTGTAGACGCAAGGGGGAGCCTTCGCTCCAGGCGGAGGCCCAGACAGCAGGGCGGAAGCAGCCGCGGACCTCCTTGAAGGCCACCACGCTGCTGCTGCAGTTGCTGCTGCAGTTGCCACTGCAGTTGCTGTTGCAGTTGCTGCTGCAGTTGCTCCCGGCCCACGGGGTGACAGTCACTAGTTGGCCGTTCTTGGTGAAGCTGATAAGGCGCTGCTTTGCATTCAGCAGCACGCCCACAGTGTCGCCTACTCCGTAGGCAGCAGCACGACCTGCTGCAGCAGCAGCAACAGAAGCTCCGTGCAGCAGCGAGCCTGTGCTGCAGTAGAGGTACCCGCTGCTAAGGCTGCTGTCTCCGGTCTTGAGCACACAGCCGTCCACGTGAAGGCCAACAGCAACGAGGGGCTCTTTGCTGCTGGTGCTGCTGTTTCTCGCCTGTTTGCTAGTGTTGCTGCTGCTGCAGCTGCAGCAAGCGCGATAGCTCCCGAACTGATTTTTTTGCTGCTGTGCAGCGGCTAAGAAAGGCTGCACTGCTGCTGCGCACTCTTCCTTTTCTGCAGCAACGCAGGGAGCCCCGCAGCTGCTGCACCGCTGCTGCTCCTGCTCCTGCTTCGAATCCAATCCAATGTACACCTCAAAGTAATATGCAGGGAGAGACGTGGGTATTGCTCTGTTAGCCTGGGCAGTGCATTGGAGCCTGTTGCAGTGCTCTATGACAGCTGCTGTCTGCTTTGCTGCTGCTGCTGCTGCCACATCTGCAGCAGTTGCTGCTTTCTTCGTAGCAGTTACTGCTGTTGCCGATTTTCCTCCCACGGCTTGTTTTGCTGCTGCTGTGTCAACTAATGTGTCGGACGGGCTTTGTCCAGCAGAGATGCAGCTAATTTGGGCGTTTTGCAGCAGCAAGAGTTGATCGTCTTGCTGCTGCTGCTGCTGCTTCTTGTCGCGAGGCCCTGCCCCAGCTTCACCAGCGAATAAGGAGGCTGGCGGCAGTTCGTTCTCCGGCCGTGCTTCGGCTTCCTGCTGCTGCTGCTGCTGCTGCTGCACGTGCTGCAGCAGCACGCTCCAGTCCTCCGGGGGGCAGCAGAAACGCTCAGCAGTTCGCCTCTCCCAGGCACTGGGCAGCAGCAGCGGCAGCCCCGCAAAGGGGCAGTGCCGCAGGGCTTCTGCTGCTGTTTGCCGCAGCAGCAGCCGGTTCTCAATGGCTAGGCAGCCATGCAGGCGGTCCCGCAGCAGCTGCCGCAGCCGCAGCGAGAGCGCCCGCAGCTCTTCGAGGCCTTCTAGGTAGGGCACAGAAATGGGGCGGAGGCAGACGACTAAGAGGGACTGCAGCAGCTGCTGCTGCAGCAGCAGCGAAGCGGCGACTTGTCGGCTCTGCAGCAGCTCGCTCACCGCCGAGAGTGCCATGGTCCGTAGCTGCAGCAGCAACAGAGACGCCACGCGCCCTGCAGGAAGCCACGTCACTCCATCCGCTGCTGTTGCTGCTGCTGCTGCTGCTGAATTGGAAAAAGCAGCAATGGCTGCCTCATGCTCTTCGTCTAGCAATCCTTTCTCTGCTGCAACAGTCAGCCTCACTATCTCCTTTAGCAGTTCCTCCGTCTCTGAGTGCTGCGCTGCTGTCTCGTCGCTGCGGCCTGCTGCTGTCCTGCTGCTGCTTGCTGCTGCTGTCAGCGCAGCCGCTGCCGGTCCATTTGCTGCTGCTGCAGAGGCTGTATTGGCAAGAGAAGCCTGGAAAGACCTGCTCCAGGCTGCCCGCTGCGTTGGGCTCCCAGGGCTCTGGAGGCTGTGCTGCTCCTGCTTTTGCTGCTGCTGCTGCTGCCGCTGGGCGCCTTTCAGCAGCAAATCAGCAATCACGTGTCCATCTGTCTCGCAAAGGCTTGCAGCTGTTCCTGCAGTCAGGCGGCTGAGCTGCAGCCTGCAGCTGTTTCCTTCCTTGACCTGCAGTAGCGCGAGTCCTTCGTACCTCGACAGCAGCACGAGTCTGTTGCTTTGGAGCAGCTGCTGCTGCAGCAGCTCGCTGCCGTTGCTGCTATCGGCCTGCAACGAGCAGCCAACTCTCAAAAACTCTGGGGAGCCTCCGAGCACAGCAAGGGCACCCAGAGCCTCACAGAAAGCTTGGCCCCATGGCGCAGCTTCGTCTTTGTGGCATTTGGGTTCCGCTGCTGCTGCTGCGTCTGCTGCTGCTGCTGTAGCTGCAGCTGCTGCTTGTCCAGCAACTGTGCACGCAGATATAAGCCACTCTTGGGTCTCTGCAGAGACGTGCTGCTGCTCCGTGTGATGGTGATGGTGGTGAAGATGCTTGGCATGGTGGTTATGGTGCGGTTGCTGTTGCTGTTGCTGCTGCTGCTCCTGCTGCTGGTGCTGCTGCTGCTGTTGGAGTTGCTTTTGGGCGTCGTCTGCAGCTCCCTGCAGCAGCGCTTGAGGCCCCTTTTCTAATACTGCACTGCTGAAAGCCATGGCTTGCCGAATCCGCTGCCGGATGGGCTGGCTCCACTGGCAGCAAAGCAGCAGCTGCCTGAGGAGTCCCCTGAGCTCTAGGGCCAGGGCAGCTTGTTGGCTAGCTGTGCGGCTCTGCGTGAGCACACAGGTTGGGATGCTGCTGCTGCTGCTGCTTCTGCTGCCACTTCTGGCGCTGTGGCGAAGGAACAACTGGTGCAGCAAAAGCTCCTCCCAGTGGCGGGACATCTGCGAGAGGCCTGAGGAGCATTCGCCCAGGGCGAAGGCCATGGGGGACACCAGCAGCTGCAGGGGTCTGCAGCTGCTGCTGCTGCTCCCGGGTGCAGCTGCTGCTGCGCCTGAGATCGCTGCTGCTTCTGCCTCTGCTGCGAGCTGCTGAACAGCTGCTGCTGCGAGAGCCTCCGGGCTGCACACTGCCACCCCACAGCCAATAGCAGCTAGAAGGCATTCTGCGACCTGCAGCGCGGCGCTGCTGCTGTCGCTTAGTGAGCAGCTGCTGCTGGGCGAGGGCCCATTCCACGGTGCAAGGGCGTGGCTTGTTGCTGCTGTTGCTGCCGCAGCCGACTCCACGACTTCGGCTGCTGACTCTGCGGCTTCAGTTGCTGCTGCTGCTGCTGACGGCGGCTCTGCTGCCGCAAAGAAGTTGGGGCTTGCTGGAGCTGACAATGCTGCTAAGTGGATCCCTCTGTCTCCATGGTGAGCGGGCAGCAGCAGACGCAGGTGCTGCTGCTGCTGCTGTATGGCTGCAGGATGCATCAGAATGTAGCAGCCACGGCTGTTGGCAGCAGCAGCAACAGCATTAAGCAGCACATCTCTGAGGTGCCCAGAATGGAGAGTGGGGGCCTCAGCAACTGCTCTGAGGGCCGGCAGCAAAAAGCGAGCTGCATGCTGGGGGCTGCTGAAGGGCAGCAGCAGCTTCAGCAGCAGCGCGGCCTGTCGCTGCAGCCTAGGGCTGCCTGCAGCAAGCAGCAAAGCTACTGCAGCGCCCAGCGCATCAGAGGAGAGAATCAAACGGAAGCAGCAAGCTGCGGAGCTGCAGCAGTAACATCCCCACTCTAGTGGGACGCCGGGGCTGCTGCAGCAGCAGGGCGTGCTGCAGCAAGTCTGCAAATCCATCGCTCCTTTATGGTCCAGCCGCCAGTTGTGAGAGCCGGAGGGAGACCAGTGGTCATACGCTGCAGCGGCAGACGGAAGTGGGGTACCGGCCGTACCCGCTGCTGCTTCTGCTGCCGCTGCTGCTCCTGCTGCTGTTGCAACGTGCTGATGCAAGATTGCCGATGAATCAGACGTCAGACACTTCGATAGAAGGAGGAGCATGAGGGAAGCAAAGAGATGAGTCGTCGATTCCCAAGACAAGAAGAGGCTCATTTCCTGGACTGCCTGCATCTTGTTGTGTTGCTGCTGCTGCTGCTGCAGCTGCGGAGCAAGTTGTGCTGCTGCGGTTTGCAGAGCTGCAATCAGCGCTAAGTCGATGCAGAAGCGGATGGCGAGGAGGCGGGACCTGTGGCCTGCTGCTGCAGCGCGGAGACAGATTATGAGCAGCAGCAGCAGCCTGTCGTAGAGGGGAGGAGGCGGCAGCTGCTCTTGCTGCTGCTGAGGCTGTTGCTGCTGAGGCTGCTGCTGCGCAGGAAGGGCTCCAGCCACGGCGACGTCTATCAAGCCAATGCGTTGCAGCGCTAATATGTCTCGTTCAGCAAAGGCGATAAACCCTAGAACAGACAGTGCAGCATTGCGCACCATGAGGCATTGTTGCGGCAAGAAGGGCTCCTGTGTGCGTTCAGCTGCAGCAGCAGCAGCAGCAGCAGCAGCAGAAGCAGCTGCAACAGGAGCTGCATCAGTGCCTGCGCGGCAATCCTCCGCGCGTGGCGCGGCCCGTTCGTCAACTCCACGCATAGCACACAACTGCTCCTGCTGCTGCTGCTGCGTGCTCGCCAATTGCACTGCCACGGCCACGGCGCGGTAGTGAAAGAGCCGCAGCTGCCTCTCTAGCTGCACCCCACAGCCTCTGACGGAGCAGCAAAAGTCACCTTGCTGCTTTTGCTGCTCTCTTTGGGGGCCCCTGCCTTCGTCTTCTGGGAACTCATAAGGCCTGAACAGGGGGTAGCGCGGCAAGCAGGGCAGACTGCTGCTGCTGCTGCTGCTGCTGCTGCTGTTGCTGCTGCATATTCCCCAACCCAAGTACTGCAGCTGGGACCCCCCGTCTGGCGGCTGCCCCCAAGTAGGCAGCGGCAGCCCCAAGGGCGTCTCGCGGCCCATAGAGCGCAGCACCTTCAGCAGCAAATAAAGAGGCAAGGGGCTCCGCAGAGACAGCAGCGCGTGGTGCAGCAAATCTAGACCCTGCAGCATTCCCTCAGCTCGCAGCCGCCGCTGCCGCAGCGCATCTGCCATGCAGCTCAGGTCGTCCAGAGGACCGGAGGGAGAAGCCGCTGCTGCTGCTGCTTCGTCTTCTGCATCTGCTGCAGCAGCAGCAGCCTCGGAGGCAGTGGAGAGTGAGGCAGCAAGTGCCCCACCTGGGAAATTCGAGCTCCTGCCCTCCGCATCTGTTGCTCCTTGTGCTGCTGCAGCACTCGGATGCAGCACTGTGGAGTCCGACTGCGATGCTGCTTGCTGCTGAAGCGACGCTACTGGATCGCCAGCAGCAGCTGCTGCAGAAGCAGCAGCCGTAGCAGCAGTGACCTCTCTCACCATTTCTGCTGCAGCTGCAGCTGCTGCCTTGCCTAGACAGCGCACCAACAACAGCTGTTGGTCACGGCCTTCGGGAAAAACTGTCTCAAGCGTCATTTTGGAGTTCTCCGCGGCAGCAGCAGCATCAGAATTGGGCGACTCAGCTACGGCCGTGGGTCCTGCTGCTGCTGCTGCTGCGTTTGCTGCTGCAGTGCATGCCGAACGCACTGCAGAAGCAGCCGACTCAGCAGCAGCAGCAGCAAGAGTCGCTAGCCGTTGGCGTTGCTCTTGCGTCTCTGAGTTGGCAGAGGTGGCGCCGGTGACAGCAGCAGCTGTTGCTGCTGCCTGCACTGCACGCGAAGCTGCAGCAAGCGCTCGCGCTGCAGTCGGCGGCAGAGCAGGAGGCTTAGCAAAGAAAACTGCAGCAACTCCGTGGGAGACGCTTTTTGCAGCAGCCTCTACTTCTTGCTGTTGCTGTTGCTGCTGCTGCTGCAGCTGCCTCGCTTCCCTCCACTTCTGCATACGCTGCCACTTGGCAAACGCCTTCTTACAGCGGCTGACCCGCTGATCTGGTGCAGCAGTCCTTGCATCTCCTGCTGCTGCTGCTGCTGCTGCTGCTGCTTTGGTGGTAGAGAATGCATCTGGAGAGCCTAGAGGTATGAATGGCCCCCTGACATCCAAAGCAGCCAGGGAGGACAAAGCTCTCACAAGAGTTTGCTGACTGTATTCTTCCGTGATATCTGCTTCTGAGTTTTGGGGGGCAACATCAGCAGCAGCAGCAGCAGCAGCAAGTGTAGCAGCTGTTACTGCGGCTGTGTGTGCAACATATGAGGTGGAGATGGGCGTCGACGCGAGGGAATGCCTTCCTGTTGCTGTACCAGCAGCAGCCGCAAGGTGTTCTGCTTCCGTGCTGTGCAGCAACAGGCTGCTGTTGCTGCAGTTGCTGCTGAGGTGTGTCAAGCTGCTGCTGCCGAGGCGCGGAATATCACTGGGGCTGCTGTTTTTGCTGCTGTCCCACACGCCGTCTTGGCACGTTCGCCTCCGAAGCTGAAGCCCTCCTCTGAAAGCGTGCGCTCGTGCTGCTGCTGCTGCTGCTGCTGTTGCAGTGGGCTCTAGGCCTGCCGCAACGAGACTGTATGGCAGGCGCCTTTCCTCCTTGTCTCTTTGCCGAAGAGAAAAGGGCTTTAGCCTCATGAGAAGAGCTGCCTTGCTCAGGAGAACTGCTGCCCAAAAAGAGTAGCAGGAGAGAGTCTGCTGTTGCTCGAGCTGCTGCTGCAGCTGCCGCCTTTGCTCCTCCTTAGCAGCAGCACCACCACCACTAGGAAGAGCAGCAAGGTCTCTTCTGTTGCCCTCAGCAGCTAATACGCTTCGCTGCCTCTCACCCACCACCCACTGTCTCAAAGTCCGTCCCCCCGACCAGACGCACACAGCAGCAGCAAACTGCTGCTCGTCAGAAAGCCACAGCGCCTGCCGCCTTACAAGGGTTTCCAAATTGCTGCTGCTGGTGCTGCTGCTGCTGTGTTTAGCTGCTGCTGCCGCTGCGTCGGCGAGCTCTGGCTCCCGCTTCAGCAGCTCCAGCAGCAGCGACACGAGCAGCCGCTGCATGCGCAGGTGGTGCAGCAGGCAGCAGCAGTAGGCTTTGATGGCCAGCTGCAGGCTGAGGCCCCCCACAGTCTCACTCAAGAGCGCACCCCCAGTTGAGGCCCTCCTCACAGCCCCCAAAGACCTGTGGGGCCCCCGCCGCCCCACAGCTGCTGCTGCTGCATCCAGCACCAGGCCAAGGGCTCTTCCCAGGGGCCTCCCTCTCCACAGAATGTAGCAAATGCTTTCTGGGTGGGCCTGGAGGTGCTGCAGCTCCGCCTGCCACGCGGGCGCAGCAACGGGAGGCAGCAGAACCAGGCTTTGACGCCAGGCGCCTGCTGCTGCCTCCCCAGCAGCAGCAGCAGCGCCACTTGCTGCATCTGCTGCTTCCCCAGCAGCGGCAGCAGCAGCTGCTGCCGCATTCGCTGCTGCTGCGTCCGTTGCGAGCCCATTTTGCGCAGCCAATTCCTGTTGTCCCGCAGCAGCTCCAGGAGCTGCCTGTGGGTTTGCCGCTGCCTCATGGTGACACCGCACATCGCCTCCATTCGTTTGGGGCCGCCCCAGAGAGAGGTCTTCCTGGCGTAGCTGCGTCTGCTGCTGCTGCTGCTGCGCGCTGCCGCGGCCTGGGTGCGTGAG